AGAGAGAGAGAGAGAGAGAGAGAGAGAGAGAGATACAAGATGAGGCAAAAATGACCGTAAACATCTAGATGACCCTTCAATCTGGCGACCGCATACGCCATGCCATCCAAGGCATTGTGTGGATGGTGAGAGCTGGAGCTGTCATTCACCTGCATCGTCTAAAACTGACAAGTCTTCACGAAGCAACAGCAAGGGCCAAAACAACCAGAACACCGTCAAGCCAAAGACAACGTATTTGTTAGATAGCGGGCTAAAACAAGAACACATGGTATAGTTGAGGCGAACTGCCACAGTAGGTAGGCAGGCAAGAATACATGACGAGAAACGAACGCAAATTTATACCCACCCTCCCCTCTTGATGCCAACCCGTCATGCTAAACATTAGAATCCGCTCCCATCGTTACAAGATAACATATCCATCTTTCGTCCCTCATGTTGAGCGGGTAAGGTAAACAACAATCCAAAACAAAACAAATCAAGGCCAGCCAGGCAAGTCGAAGGGTGATGGTGCGCTACCCTCTACTCTCCGCGACTTGGGTGCCTAGCCGCTGCACATGATGCAGGACTCGGGGTTCTCGATGCTGCCTATAGTAGGAAAGAAGAGATGCGTTAGAAAGCGATCGATGGGGAGGGAGTCGAGCCAGAGAAAACAAACTTACAGGCAAGCACGGCTTCGGAGTAGATGTCACCCTCGCGCTCCTTGCTCTCGTTCTCCTTGTCCTCGGACTGGTCCTTCTTAGAATCATCCTTGGTCGGGTCACGGAGCTCCTCGGCCTTGATCTCGCCGGCCGGCTCCGTGGGCAGGGCCTTGGGACTCTCGCCCTCGGCGACGTCGGCCTTGAACGGGACCGTCTTGACGGGCGAGGGAGCAATCTTGGCAGCCGCGGCAGCAGTCGCAGTCGCAGGAGGCGGGGGTGTGGTGCTTGGGGTCGGGTCACCGGAGGTGGTCAGGCGATCCGACGTGCCCTCGCGCTTGGTGGCGTACATGGGCCTAGGTGACGACGCGGCGGCGGCCGTGGCAGCCGAGGACACGAACTGGCCGTTGGGAGGAGCGCGCTTGCCCAGGACGCCGCCGTGCTTGGCGATGGCGGTATCCTGCAGGCGCAGGGCCTCCTGGTCGACGGTGAACTGGATAGGCTGGGCGGCAGCCTGGGTGCGGAGGTAGTACATGCCCGTCTTGAGGCCGAGCTTCCAGCCAGCAAAGTGCATGGACGTGATCTTGCCCATGGTGGGCTCGCGCATGTGGATGTTGAGGGACTGCGACTGGTCGATGAAGGCGCCGCGGTCGGCAGCCATCTGGACGACGGTGCGCTGCGAGATCTCCCAGACTGTCTTGTACAGGCGTTTGGTGTCCTCGGGGATGCTGGCGATGTTCTGAATGGAGCCGCCCTCGGCGATGATGCGGTTCTTCATGTCGTCAGACCACAGGCCGAGCTCGACGAGGTCCTTAAGCAGCCAAGGGTTGACGACCTGGAACTCGCCAGCGAGCACACGGCGCTGGTAGATGTTGGACGTGTAGGGCTCGAAGCACTCGTTGTTGCCTAGGATCTGCGACGTGCTGGCCGTGGGCATGGGCGCCACAAGCAGCGAGTTGCGCACACCATGCTGCTTGATGTCCGCCTTGAGCCCCTCCCAGTCCCAGAGCTCCGACGGCTTGACGTTCCACATGTCGTACTGCAGGATGCCCTGCGACACGGGCGAGCCCTCGTAAGTCGAGTAGGTGCCCTGCTCGCGTGCCAGCTCGCACGAGGCGGTGAGGCCGGCGTGGTAGATGGTCTCGAAGATCTGCTTGTTGAGCTCACGAGCCTCGGGCGACTCGAAGGGCAGGCGCAGCGCCAGGAAGGCATCTGCCAGGCCCTGCACACCCAGGCCGATGGGGCGGTGGCGCATGTTGCTGTTGCGAGCCTCCTGGACCGGGTAGTAGTTCACGTCGATGATCTTGTTCAGGTTACGGACGACGACCTGGGTGACCTTGTGCAGCTTCTGGAAGTCATAGACGCCCTCGTTGTAGTCGATAAACTGCGGCAGCGCCAGCGACGCCAGGTTGCACACAGCCACCTCGTCGGGAGCCGAGTACTCAATGATCTCGGTGCATAGGTTGGAGCTACGGATGGTGCCCAGGTTCTTCTGGTTGCTCTTGCGGTTGCAGTGGTCCTTGTACAGCATAAAAGGGTTGCCAGTCTCGGTTTGGGCCTCGAGGATGGCATACCACAGCTTTTGCGCCTTGAGGGTCTTGCGGCCCTTACCAGCACGCTCGTACTTTTCGTACAGAGCCTCGAACTCATCGCCGTAGCAGTCCGCCAGGCCAGGGCACTCGTTGGGGCACATGAGCGTCCAGTCGCCGTTCTTCTCGACTCGCTTCATGAACAGATCCGGGATCCAAAGGGCCAGGAAAAGATCGCGGGCGCGAATCTCCTCCTTGCCGTGGTTCTTGCGCAGGTCGAGGAACTCGAACACGTCGGCGTGCCACGGCTCCAGGTAGATGGCGAAGGCGCCGGGGCGCTTGTTGCCACCCTGGTCGACGTAGCGGGCTGTGTTGTTGAAAACACGCAGCATAGGCACGATACCGTTGGATGTGCCGTTGGTGCCGGCAATGTAGGAGCCCGTGGCGCGGATGCGGTGGATGTTGAGGCCGATACCGCCAGCCATCTTGGAGATCATAGCACAGGTTTTGAGGGTGTCGTAGATGCCATCGATGCTGTCGTCCTTCATGTCGACCAGGAAGCACGACGACAGCTGGGCCTGGGGCGTGCCGGCGTTGAACAGAGTGGGAGAGGCGTGAGTGAAGTACTTGCTCGACATCAAGTTGTATGTCTCAAACACGCGCTCGAGGTTGTCGCCCCAGATGCCGACAGCGACGCGCATGATCATGTGCTGCGGGCGCTCGACAATCTTGCCGTCGAGCTTGAGCAGGTATGAGCGCTCCAGGGTCTTGAAGCCAAAGTACTGGTAGTTGAAGTCCCGGTCGTAGACAATGGCCGAGTCGAACTCAGCCTTGTGGCGCATGACGCAGTCGTAGGTTTCTTGAGCGATCATGGGCGACAGCCTGCCGTTCTTGGGGTTGACGTAGTGGAACAGGTCGCTGATGACCGACGAGAACTGCTTCTTGGTCTGCTTGTGCAGGTTGGACACGGCGATGCGCGCAGCAAGGATGGCGTAGTCGGGATGTGTCACGGTCATGTATGCGGCCGTTTCGGCGGCCAGGTCGTCCAGCTGCACCGTCGTGACACCGCCGTAGACGCCCGAGATGACCTTCTGGGTGATCTTAACGGGGTCGACATGGTTCAGGTCGAGGCCGTAACACAACCTCGAGACGCGGGCCGTGATCTTGTCGAACTGGACACGCTCCTCGCGTCCGTCTGCGGGTAGAGGGGAGCATAGTTAGCGGACGAAGCGAGGGAGGGGTCAAAGGGTAGTCGACGAAGGCGCTGTGTTAGGGGTAGGCCTACCTCGCTTCCGGACAAACATGGCGGGCTGTTGTGTGCGAGGGCCGCTCAGAGGAGGGGTGAAGGGTACAGAGTCTCCGCAAGGGGAGATACGGGCTTCCGGTAGTGAAGCAGTGGCGGCAGAGGCGGCGGGCCTCGAAAGATCAAGATGTCCACGAGGGCAGGGAGAGCGGGGTTATGTTGAGGGTGCAGGCAATGGCTGCATAAAACACACGCTCGGGACACTATGAAGGCCTCAAGGATGCTTGAGCCGAGGAATTGGGAGAATGCGGGATGTGTTGTTTGTTCTCTAGAGGAGGAAAAGCTGAATAGATGGCAGGGCGACGGGCGGGCCTGGGGCTTTTTAAGGGACGTGCATCGTGGACGCGTGGGGTCGCGAAAGCACTTAAACAACGCGCATTTTCGTGTTTTTTTTGCCTCGCTCCGAGCAGGACAGTGCTAACCCGCCAAGGTGGGGCAGCCAACCATGGTGACATGGTGACGGGACAACACCACGGCGGATTTCTAATGGCGGCAGGTAGCGACCAGAAAGGGAGGTGCAATCTGACTCGTGAGGGGGCCAATCACGCCCTGGGCCTTGTGGAGGATCAAATTGCGCTTGTCTGTGCCTCGACCAACAGGCGGTGGACTATGATTGATGTAGTATGCACAAGTACATTGTAACCTGCCCCGGGAACTCTGTAGGTGGAGCTGGGCGAGTTCCTTGCAGCCTGTTGGTACTAATGGGGCTCTGATGACTCTTCAGCCCGTCCATAAAGCGAAGCTGATATCCACTGGGTACCTTCAGTGGAACATAAAAGCAAACAAAGAATGAGGGCTTGGTCTCGCACCTTCGTGAACCGACACCCCCTCATATCGCCGATATCAGCCCGCCCCTGCCTTGTGCCTTGGCGCCTCTATAGTGGCCGCCAGCTCCAGCACGCCATGGCCGCTGAACAGCCCCCCGCTAAGGCGCCTTATAAGCCCAGATATGTCGATGCAAGTGCCTGGCTTGGAAACCGCCGCACGAGGTTGAGCACACACTAACACGCAAGACACGCATAGATCGGCATCAACCTCGCAGACCCCATCTTTAGGGGTCGGTCCGGCGGCAAGCAGCGGCACCCGGACGACCTGCACGCCGTCGTCCAGCGCGCCAGGGACGTCGGCTGCACCAAGCTCATTGTCACGGGCTCCAGTTTCAGGAGCTCCAGGGACGCCCTGAAGCTCGCCGACGAGTTCCGTAAGTTTGTGAGATAGGGGAGAAGCATACACACAAGACGCCAAAGTATCACGTAACCCAAAGCGGCGTGGCGGGAGTTCTGATGCGGCAGGCACAAAAACATTTTACAGCCGGAACCGTCTACTCCACCGCCGGGATTCACCCCTGCTCCAGCGCCATCTTCGGGCCTCAGCACCCCCACCACCACGAGGCCGCCGACGAGGAGCACACGGCCGCCTGCGACCCGGATCTGTCCAAGCCCGTGGCCGACGAGCACGAGCCGGACCTGGCCCGTTCCGCCCAGATCATTGCCGACCTGCGCGCCCTGGTCCGCAGCGGCAGCGCACCAACTGATAAGGGTAGCAGCAGCGGTAGCAGCGGGCCGCACCGCCTGGTCGCCTTTGGCGAGTTCGGCCTCGACTACGACCGCCTGCACTTCTGCCCCAAGTCTCTGCAGCGCCACTCCTTCGCCGCCCAGCTCGAGCTGGTCGCCTCGCTCGCCTCGCCCACATCATCGTCCCCGGACGACGACGACAACGACAACGACAACGACAACGACGACGGCGGCCCGCCCCAGCCCCTGGCCCTGCCGCTGTTCCTGCACAGCCGCGCCGCCCACCGCGACTTCGTGTCGGCCCTGACGGCCGCCTTCGGCCCGCGGCTAGAGCGCCTGCCGCGGGGAGGGGTTGTGCACAGCTTCACGGGCACTGCCGAGGAGGCGCGCGAGCTGACGGCCGACCTGGGCCTGTACCTGGGCATCAACGGCTGCAGCTTCAAGACGGCCGAGAACTGCGACGTCGTCAGGGACTTGCCGCTCGACCGCCTCATGATCGAGACGGACGGGCCCTGGTGCGAGGTCAGGCCCAGCCACGAGGGGTGGAGGTACCTAGTCGAGCACTATGCCGGGGTCAGGGCCCGGGAGGAGAAGGAGGCCGAGGAGAAACAGGCGGTGGCAGTAGCGGAGCAAGCTGCTCGGGCAGAGGCAGAGGCAGAGGTGGTGGCGGTGGCAGCTGACGGCGGTGGCGCTGATGGGGGCTCGGGGCAGCAGACGCCATCATCTGCAGCGCCCTCGGCAAATGGCGATGCTCGACGGCCGCCAAGGAAAAAGAAGCCGCAGCAGCAGCAGCAGGCCGGTAAGAAAAATCAGAAGGTGTCAGAGGTTCCCGAGCGCTTCAAGTCAGTCAAGAAGGAGAAGTGGGAGGAGGGCGCCATGGTCAAGAGCCGCAATGAGCCCTGCAACATTGAGCGCATCGCCATCATTGTCGCCGGCATCAAAGGCATATCCGTCGAGCAGGTGACCGAGACTGCCTGGGCAAACACGATCAAGATGTTTGGACTAGACGAATAGACAGACGTTGAGACTTCTGATAGACGCAGCCATAGATGCAGTATATGAGCCCACTGACGCGGATTCGCCTCCAGCGGTTTTTCGCAAATGAGCGGCCATTACAACCTAGGTTGTGGGAGCAGGGACAAGCAAGGTGTCTGTCTTCAAGGGCAAGTAAGTTGGTAGCCGTGTCACGCCGCCTGGGATCCCACCTAGTCTCCCCACGAAGTTTTCTGATTGATTTGTCCAACTCCTTTTCTCCATGCCCGCATATCTGACGCCGTGGCATCCATACCAAGAGAATGTGCGTCTTTGCGAAGCCCAAAACGCTGCTGCTGGCTCGTGCCAGCATAGAACATGGAGACAAGAAAGCAAATGCGAGAGAAAGACATACGCCCAAATAACCACCCGACCATGCCCACCGTTCCGGTCCGTGCCCCCTCAACGATGGAAGAAAGAAAACGCCGCTCCTGGCCCCCGTCGATAAAGGTTCCATGGAAGGAGGAGACCGTGAGAAAGAGAAGAGAGCAAGGGGAAAAAACTCATAAACATGCTCAAAGGCGGGGGCGTGCCGTCATTCCCTCACCCTTGGCCGAATTTCATAACCGCTTCCCTGGGACTTGTCGCAACCCCAAACTCCCGTCGACTCGCTGAGAAAAGAAAAATAAAGAGGCCGCCGAGGCTAGAAGAAAAAGCAACGCCTGGGCTGTAGTTGTACAAGTGGAGTGAGTGTGTGCTGGAATTTGAGAGTGAAGATAAGGCCTGGGGAGATCCGATATATCGCGCGAGATATCGAAGTACTTTAGTGAGTAGGCAAGTTTGCCTCTTGTCACCAAGATATGAATGACGCGGTAATTCAGCCACAGCCGTGTATGAGCTCGTGGAACAGAGACCCAAGTAACAGCAGAAGCAGCGAGGATGCAAGAGCTCGCCCTCGGCTACTGCTGAGCGGAAGCCTGGCCATCGCCGCCACGACGGTACCCACGTCCACGGCCACCGCCGCGGTTCCGCATACCACCGCGGCCACGGCCACGACCGCGGTAGCCGCCCTGGCGATAGCCGCCATCAACGCTGCCCTGGCCGAATGTCTCCATGTTCTTGCGCTGCTCCTCCCCGCGCCATTCACGACCACCGGGCTTCTGGCCACCATTCTCGGCCCGATCCCGTGCTTCGCTCGATATGTTATCGAAGAAGGAAGACGCCTTGTTGTATGCGGGAGGCGCCACCGTGCCGTCGTCCGGCTTTTCTACTATCTCGTTCAAGGACTTGTTGGGAGCCTCGCCCTGCGGAGATCCAGATACTGCCTCCTTAACGAGATCGCTCTTGTTGAACTTTGCATTCGAGGTTGCAAAATCGAAATCAGAGTCTGGGACTTCAACCTTGGTTGGACGGGGGCCGCGGCCGCGACCACCTCGGTTGCCACCATTCCCTCTGCCGGCATTGACCCTCATCTCGTTGACCTTCTTGGTCAGGTTGTCCATCGGATTGCCGTTGGATTGTTGAGCGGGTGCTGCTGCCGCATTGCCGCCACCCTCGAGCTTGGCCATAGCCACAGCAACCGCGGCACGTGCCGCTTGTGTTGCATCGCGCAATGCCGCCTGTGTGTTGGCGGCGTTGTTGGGCAGATCGTTGACCGCAACTCCAGTCACAGCGATCGATGCCTGAGCATTTGTTTTTTGCGTGAGCGCAGTAGGAAGTGGGATTGCCGGTGTGATACGAGTAACTTTCGGCCCCGTTGGGATGGATCGATTAGAGGTAGCACCGGCCTGTGCCAGTGATGCGGCGGTCGCCTTGACTTCCTCGGCCGATGGCTTCGAGTCCACCGGCGGGGTTGGTGGTGGGAAATTCGCCGCTTGGGGCTGGGCCGGCTGCTCAAGCTCCGCTGGCGCAGCAGAGCCATCCGAAGCGGGCGCCTTGCCCTTGTCTACCCTGGCCCCGATCGGAGGTGGTTTCTGATCTTGCTGCTGTTGCGGCGCGCCTTGCGGTGGGCGACCACCAGGGCTGGGACCCGGTGGTGGCGGGCCACCGTGGGGTGGGAACCCATACGCGTTCCACGGTCCTGGTCCGGGAGGATGAGGGTAGCCCTGTCCCGGAGGGAACCAACCAGGCGGAGGAGGGTATGGCAGCCCGTTGAAGCCGGGGCCGGGTGGGCCACCGGGACCACCAGGGCCGCCAGGTCCCATGGGACCACCTTGCCTAGGCCAATTTCCATAGTAGGGGTTTCCAGCAAAAGGCGGGGGCGCGTGATTGTTGGGAGGCCCGCCAGAAAGTCCAGCGGGGTGGATGCCGGGAGGTCCGTTTGGGGGTGCGCCACCTGGGCGAGGTCGGGCCTATCGTGAGAGTCAGTATCTGTTACCAGGAATTGAGGACCAAGGCAAAAGATGTGTTGCGTAGAATTTCGACATTCAGAAGGAAGGCAACGGAAATCAACATGGGGGTATGTTTGCGCATTTCAGATGTTTATACATCCGGGATATATCATCATAATAGCCGACGGTGGGCGGGCGGTTGGAGGCCGCCGAGCAGGTGCGATGGCAGGAAAGTATATTCGACTTACTCCTACGATGGCGGGATCGTCCGGAACAGCAGGCGGCTGGTTCTCTTTGGTGGCCGGGGCCTGTTCGATTCTTAGGTCTTTGACATCGCTGCCGCGGAAGACAATGTACTCGTAGACCTGGTCGGATGGAGCAATCTCCTCCTCGGGCTTTCCCCTGCGACCTTCGGTGCCGAAGGACTTTACGTTCTCCAAAGACACCGTCGACTCCTCCGAGTTGATCTCGTGTAGGACACCGACATAGCTTCCGGGACCACGTTAGCAGACTTGTAGGCTGGGTGGGCAGGCAGTGGAGTCGGCGCGGCGACGGTGACGCCAAGGCTGGGCGGCGAGAGACAGCCTACCGGATGTCACTCTTGGATATGAGCGAAATGCGCGAACTGGAACACATGAGGGTTAGTCAAGCACCGAGACTGGAAGAACGAGACTCCTTGTACTGCTCACCCTAGGAATTCGGACATGGTGAGACTTTGCGACTAGCTCTTTGGCGTAAGCTGAAGGCTCCCAAGAGCCAGCTGTTCAAGATTTTGGAGTCCGCAGTGTGGAGGAAGAGGGGAAAGACTGCTCGAACTGGAAGGTAAGTCGCGCGCGGGATAGAAGAAAGGAACGGGGAAACAAGAAGAAAGGAAAAGGCAAGATGGTTCGGGGAAGTGGTGCGCTAGAAGGAGAAGGATGAGGATTAGGGTGAGTGTGGAAAAGGTCAGGTTTGTTGGCGACTCGAGGGGATTTTCACGATGGGGAAAAGCTGGAGTTGGGGGCTGGGAGACAAAGGCTGCCCCACTTGGGCTTAGCTGGCAAATAGCAGCAACGGAAACGGAAGGTGGAGAGCTTAATTCTTATCAGCACGTGAGAATGCGGTTTATCAGCTTGCCCCTCCTGCTCTATGCAATGCTTCAGGTTCCATGCATTTGAAAGCTTTCTCCCGCCATCTTTCGTGCGGATTAGCAAAGACTCGAAACAAAAGCCAGCGAGTCCACACAATACCTTCCTCCTGGAGTGAACAACCTCGAAACCTCTCAGCTCCTTAATCGCAAGCTCATTCCTTGGTCAACCCCCTCCAAAAAAAAAAAAAAAAAAAATGTCCAGCCGCCAGCTTCGGAAGCTGCAAGAACGGAAGGAGGCGCAAGAACTGAAGGAGCTGCGAGAACGGAAGTTGCGAGAACAGCAAGCGCTAGGCCAACATGATGCGCCGGCAGACATCCCTGAAGACGACGAGCCAATAATACGTCAACCGCGCGCGAACTTGTTCTCCGGATTCGCCTCTCTTGTGGAAGATGGCGGCGATGACGATGAAGACGACGACGACGACGATATCGACGACGGCGCGGGGCAGCAGACTGCGGCGCCAAACCCTTCGGATGCGACGGCAGCCATCCCAAGTAAGAAAAGCAAGAAGAAATCAAAGCGGAAGAAGAAGGCCAAGAAGGCGGACCCGGAGCCCCCCGTAAAAGAAGCGCCAGAAACTGGTGGCATGGACGAGATCGACCGCGCACTACAGCAACTCAAGGCCGCCGAGCCGACCCCTGTGGGCACATCCGACTCTGAGCCGACAGACTGGTACTCCGCAGAACTCGCCAAGCTCCTGAGCATAAATACCATGCATCTCAAGGTGGTCAACGAGATGCGGAATCTTTTCGGGCGCGACGCCATTGCAGCGAGTAGCGCGGATAGCGATCCGCAAGCAGGGGTAGACCTGAGAGCCATGCAACGAGAGGGTCAAACCCTCGAGCAGTACCTCAAAGGACGGCCGGGCCAGAAGATATCCGAAGTCCTCTTAAGGCGAAACCCTTTTGTGGAAGGCAAGAGCTATTGGCCCAAGGCTCCAGCTGGCGGCCTCACGATGAAACGAGTCGACGAGAGTGAGGACTCGGATCAATTTACCGAGTTCGCATTCGCCCACGATCACGGTTACGAATCACTGGAGGCGGTATTCTTCCAATGCGTCCAAACGCACGACCCTATGATGCTAGTGCACTTCCTCCATCAAAACCCGTACCATGTCTCCTCTCTGATCCAGGTCAGCAAGGTCGCAAAACAGGACCAGAACTCGGCTCTTGCGGGCGATCTATGCGAGAGGGCGCTGTTTACGTTCGGTAGGGTGACTTTATCGTCCTTCCGAAACAAACTGAAGGATGGGCGCGCGAGGCTCAGCTTCAGCCGGCCAGAGAATCGCCAGTTCTGGCTTGCTGCCTACAACTACGTCAGGAGTTTGATGATCAAGGGAACCTACAGGACGGCTCTGGAATGGGCCAAGATGTTGCTGTCGTTTTCCCCGGCCGACGACTATGGGATGCTGAACTTGATACATGGCATCGCGATCAGGTGTCACGAGGCCGCATGGTTCATCGAGCTGGTGTGCGAGAACGACCTGTTCAGCTATCACATGGCACGCCACGTGCCAAACAGAGACTACGTCAAGCAGACGGCTGTGTTGGCGAAGCTGCAGCTGGGTGATGCAGCTGGTGCGAGGAAGCTACTGAAAGAAGGTATGGAGACACTCCCTTGGCTTTACTGTGCGCTCTTGAGCGCACTAAATATGGACGCGCCCAAATCCATCTGGGGGATTCAGGCCAGGAGCCCAAGCGAAGAGCTCTACACGGCCCTGTACATCAGCCAAGCCAAGGACTTGTGGAACACCCAACAGGCATCGGCACTGCTCAAAGAGGTAGCAACCTCGCTGGCGCGGCCGCCGGTGCACGAGACGTTGCCGGAAGCCGAGGACGTGGCGGAGAGTACGGCGCGGTTCGTGTACTTGGACAACACGCCGTCGTTGATGGCGCTCGTGCCGCATGCGCTCATGCACGCGTCGCCGAATTTCGACTTTGATCCTCTCCCCCCGCCGCTTGAAGAAAACATCTTCTCGAGCGTGGCGCAACGGCTGCCCTGGGACGGAACGCAGGCCCACCCTTCGACATCGCATCTCGGGGAGCTCTTTGCACGTCTATTTCCGGCAGAGCAGCGGCGCTGGGAACAGTTGTTTCAGGGGCAGGGGCTAGGAGATGTGGAGGGGTTGGAGGAGCAGGATGAACTGGTGGATGGGGTGCCGGAGGAGGATATCGAGGCGATGGTACAGCTGCGTGCCGCTGTGGCAGAGTCTAGGAACGATCCTGGGGTGCTCGCCCGGCTCGCCCAGATGGCCGAGTTTATGTTTGGTCGCCCTCGGGATGCAGCTGCCAACGAGGCGGAAGACGAGCCCACCATCGATGCCGCTGCCAGCAGAGGCGAGGATGATGCTATGCAGCAGGAGGACCGGAACCCGGCCCCGTCGGACACGCACGGTGGCCGGGGCGACAACACCAACCGGCAAGGAGACTGACCAGATAGTGCTCGTGTCTCGGCCATCCGTGCGAGTATCTGTGCGGACAGAGTATGGATTAGAGCGCAGGGCTCTGCGTCTGCATTGTGTGGCGTAGCTGCTGAAGAACACCACGCTGCACCAGCCCGAATGTTTCCCCGCGCATCCCGTCAGCCCACACGCAGGCCGTGCATCGTTGCACGGGCTTGGTCGTACCTGATGATTGAGGGCATAGGCAGTTAATTACCTTGGTAGACAGAATCCCCAAGCAAATATACCTACACGAGTCGGCCTAGTACACAGTACACAAAAGAGGCTTGAAAATTGCGCAAGCTGACGGGCCACGAGCTACCAGGTGCGGGTGATACAAGCCCCACGGGGGGCTCCAGCTCCAGGGGGTGTGTGGGCGACACCGACCCGAAACCTGCGCAGCTCTCGCGAAGCCATTGAGCGACGAGGCCTGATTAATAATTTGCTCACCAAAAGAGGCGAGCGGCAGCAGAGACCAGACGAGCAGGCCTGGACGGCGGCTGACCCTCCGTCATTTTGGATTTTCCATATAATTCGGCCTGCTCCTCCTCATTTTCTCTTGTTGTCCCTTGCAGCCCGGCATTTGAACAGAAGCCTCCCTCCGTTGCTGGCACATCATCATCACCTGGCCCCCACCTGCTGCAACTCCCCCCACCATTTCGCCAGGGCTCTCACAACCCGTATTTCCTCCACCTTTTTTCCTTCCAAGTCCCGAGCCAACGAACAACGGAAGCTCCGAGACTGCGACCCAACCATACCTCCTGCACCAAACCGGAAAACCACAACGACGGAGTCGAAGAACCCAGACCAGCAAAGATGGCCGAGACGCACACCTACAAGTTCGACGTCGAGATGAGCTGCGGCGGCTGTTCGGGCGCCATCGACAGGGTCCTCAAGAAGCTGGAGGGTTCGTTTCTTGTCCTTTGACTCCTTTCAAGCCCCCCCTTTTCCCCTTCTTGTTTTCCAGAACAAGCGACCCCTCGCTAACCAGAGATGTGTCTTGCCGCAAACAGGCGTCGAGAGCCACGAGGTCTCGCTGGAGAACCAAAACGCCACGATCGTCGCCAAGCCGGACCTGAGCTACGAGACGGTGCTCAAGACCATCTCCAAGACGGGCAAGAAGGTCAAGCGCGGCGAGGCCGACGGCGTCGAGCAGTCCATCGTCGTGGCTGCCGAGTAGAGAAACAAATGGGCTGGGGAGGACAGACTTGCTTTCGCATTATGATCTCTATTTAGACCGGCTTGTTGAAACGATTGGAAGTCAACAAAGCAGCAACATACCCATTTCTTTTTCCTCTTCGTTCCTGGTGCAGCTCGGGCGTTGTCGTAAAGCCGTACTCTCTGTTGCCGAACGCGCCAACTCTGGAGTCTCCAGGATCGGACCAGGGAGCTAAGAAGAGGATATCGGCCGAGGGTCTTGGCTCTATTACGCGTCGACCCCGTCCAGTACACGGCCCACCCATGCTCTGCCGCTCTCGGGTCGAGAAGGCGAAGGGAAGCGGATTGGTAGCTTCTAGTGCATGTTGGGACCTCTCTTCCACAGTCCGGCGGTGGTGTCACGGTGTCTGCCAGGACGCGATCAAGCCTCCGCAAGAACCACAACTTCTCCGGGGTGAGATGCATGTGCAACCCTGATACCTACATTGTATCCGCCGCCGCCGATCATGCCGATGGCTGATCACTGACCTTCCGGAAGAGTTTGCTAGGCCCGTCTGGCGACTACGTGCTTCCCGGCACGCGGTCGGCGTAGGGAGAGATGTCGGCCGAGCTATCCGGGGCCGACCGCCTTGGCGGGGAAAAAATAAATGTGCCATGGAAACCAAAGGGAGGAACACCCAAAAGGCAGTTTTGACTTTGACCGCTCAGGAACTCTTGCCAGTGTGATCAAAGCAAAGCTCGGGGTTTGTAGGTATGACAACGGTAACATGGACGCCCGGTGATGTGTGGTAGCGCCGAGTCATCAGCCAAGGCGACGGCGACGTCCGCAGCAGTCGCCGCGCGTACGGGGCATCGGAGACGACGACGACGACGCCTGTGGCCCCCTCCCCGACCAGAGAACAGCCTGGCTGGCCCTGCGCAAGAGTGCATGTATTTATTTGACTTATCTCGACATGGTTCGATCCCGGCGGTGGTTCGCGGCCGCGACGAATGAAGCGCCACGGTGACGACGACGTTGATGATGCAGGATATGGCAGGATGAACGGGGAGGGTGATGGCGTGGACGGACATGGGTGTTGGTCATATATGTTTATTGCATGACGGGAACAATGGCTTTGTGTCAGGACAATAATGGTCTTAGCAGCAGGCTGGAGGTTGATTGCGATGGTCCCCCATCTCTGTTGGGGGCATGGAGTGCCTGGAGTGCCTAGCCAAGGCGGGCTAGCGATGGCGGCGTGGCGTTCCCGAGTCCCGGGGCTCGCACAGTGCGGCGAGGGCAGGCGGCCAAGCCGTCAGGTGCCTGAACAGGAAGGAGATCTGGGGTTGGGGATCAATCTGGGGGTCATGCAGCCTGTCGGGGATTGCGAGCCATTCACCCATTTCATTTCAGGTGGGAAGATTGGGACCGGCAACGGCTCGCCTCCGCTCTGGTGCATCCGCGAAATTTCTTTTTGTGTTCCTTTCTTTAGTGGAGGCGTGTTCAATTGCTCTGCTGGAAGGATGCGGGCTAAGGTCAAGGCTAGGCTGCTCCTAAATTCGTCAGCAACCAGCACTGATGGGGGCTCTGTCTGGCACAGTGAATATTCAAATTCAATAAATCCACGCAAGCATCATGGCATGGAAAAGACAGCGTCAACGTCCCCGCGGTTCTTGCGTGATGGTTCAGGAGGAACCCAGACAGATGTCGCCATGTCAAGCACAGGCTCCCTCACATAGCAATGGTGTTTCGCAAGCACCGTTCTCGGCCAGGATCCCACACCAACCGCCACCTTTCGTCCGAGCACTGTGTGTCGGGCCCCGGCTGGCGGCATCGTACCAGCAACGAAGGCCTAGTTGGAGGTATGACCAAAGTTGACAGGCAACCTGGCCCGTCAGCCTTTGAAAGTCAGTTAGCTTTGAAATATTGATCGGTCCAGCCCAGCTGTCTGACACGCGCGCGCGCACGCACTGCTCCAATAAAGGGAACGCAAAAGGGAATGGAGCGCATGCAATTGGCTCATCAGACAGGGTAGAGAAAAAAAAATTAAAAAAGCAGGACAGGCGGGGGAGGAGTCTGATATCTGGTACCCCAGCCCAGCCCAGACGCGGGCGGCAGGAAACGGGCAGCAGCTTCATCGAGCGCGTACGGCAGCTGTGCGCATCATCATTCCCCAGACGGGCCCTCCTGACAGCTGCCAGCCGCTAGCACCAACCCCCCATGCGTCAATGCGCTGCTCGGCCTGATCCGCGCGGAACACGCGACCAGCTGCCGCCGCCATGGCCATGACGCCGCCTACCACGGACGGCTCCAGCACCGCCGCCAGCAGCAGGCCCGCCTTCGCCCCCGAGAGGAAGGATGCTGTCGCCGCCTCCCTGTCCGGCACCGGCACCTGCAGCGGCGCCGGCTCACCCGGCGTCATGGTCTTTGACGGCTTCCAGCAGCGCAGCGTCAAGCGCCCGCGCCCCGTCAAGTCGTGCCTACTCTGCCGCTCCAAGAAGCTACGCTGCGACCGCCTGAACCCGTGCTCCCAGTGCCAGAAGAGCCACCGCGTCTGCCGCTACGCCAACGACCAGGGGCCCGGCAACGCCTCCGACTCGGGCTCCGATGGCGAGACGGCATCTCCCTCGGCCGGCGCCGCCGACCGCGGCGCCCCCGCGCACAAGCGCGTTGCACTTGCCGGCGGCCTCAACGCCCGCTCTCCAGCCGGAGCCCACATCCCGCCGTTACCCACTCCACCTCAGCCGCCCATCGACGCCGCCGTCGATGTTTACTATAGGTCGGGGTTTGACGACATCGCCGCTCGGCTGGACCGGCTCGAAAGGCTCATTATAGCGTCTAGGACGGGCGAGGACGTGTCATCGGCTCCGGTGCAGGGGCCGCCGCCACCTCCTCTACTCTCGGGCGCCGCCACGGGCAGTTATGGCACCGGTACTACTGCCTCTGGGCTGACTCCAGCACCACCAGCCGGCCAAGAGTGGACCGCCAGCCCCGGTGCATCTCCGTCGTATAGCTATGACTCTGCGCCGCCGCCCGTCGGGGGAGGCGCACCGGGCAGCAGGATAGCTGCCCTCACTTCTATCGCAACTCGCTCCTTGACATCGCCCGTGACGGTGCGCGGTCTCACCATCAAGGGCGCCCGAAGCCTGAGAACGCGCTTCTTTGGGCAGAACAGCACGCGGGTGCTGCTCAACCTTTTCGACGAGGCCAAGGACTTCATGTACAACAAGGCCAAGCGCGAAAGCGCCAACGAGCTTTTTGTACATCTGCAAAAGATCTACACGGTGCTCCAGGAGGACCGGCACCGCGTGCTCGCGCCAATCACCGTCTTTGTCGACAGCGTGCTGCCCGTGCTCAAGCGCATGGCGGACATCCTGCCCACGCAGAAGTCGGTGTGTGACCGGCTGCTCGAGGCCTACATCGGCACCTCGGAGGGCCTGTACCGCGTCGTGCACGTGCCCACGCTTCGGGCCGAGTACCGGGCCTACTGGGACGGCCAACGCTGCTCCGACGGCTTCCTGCCGCAGTTGCTGTGCATGCTGTCGATCGGCTCCCGCTTCCAGACGGAATCGCGCGGCCTGGGCCACGACCGGTCCGAGGGCGTACACGTGCCGACGGCCTGCGCACTCGTGCGCGCGTGGCTAGACAGCCTGCGCGGCAAGCAGCTCGTCGACGTGGGCACGCTGCTGGCCGAGGTGCTGCTGCTCCACGCCCAGCGCATGATAGCGCCCCGGTACCAGGACTCGTGGACGCAGCTCGGCGTCATCGTGCGCATGGCCATGACCATGGGCCTGCATCGCGACCCGTCCGAGTTCCCGCAGATCAGCCCCTTCGCGGCCGAGTGCCGGCGCAAGCTGTGGTACACCATCATGGACATGGACCTGCACCTCTCGCTGGGCTGCAACCTCCCTTGCGCCGTTCGCGACGGCGAGTACACGTGCCAGCCGCCCCTGAACCTGGACGACGAGGACCTGCGGCCCGACAGCGGGTCCCTGCCGCCGTCCAAGCCCATCGAGGTGCGCACCGACGGCCAGCTGCAGGCCTGGGCCGCCAGCACGCTGCCGATCCGCATGCGCGCGGCCGCGCTGGTCAGCCGGCTCGACTCGATCCGCGACTACGGCGAGGTGCTCGAGGTGGGCTCGCGCCTCGAGCGCCTGCTCGAGGAGGTCAACCTCCTCTTCCCGCGCGGCCAGGGGCTGGACCCGAGGTGGAGGTTCAAGGAGTGGCGCATGCGCGCGCTGCTCGACATGCACATCCGCCGGCCTCTCCTCGCCCTGTACCGGCCCTTTGCCCTCAGCACCCCGGATTGCCCGTCGCAGATCGCGTCGACCTACTTCCGCTCCTCCATGGTGCTGCTCACCTACATGGACGAGCTCGACGCGCGGACGCCCGGCTTCGTCGATGTCAACCATATGTACCACGTAATTCTAAAGCACGACATCATACAGGCCGCCTTTAGCGTGTGCTACTACATCAAAAACGCACAGGAGGCGGCGGCGGCGGCGACGGCCACCAGCAACGGCGCTAGCGGCAGTACTGCCTACAATGGCATTGCCAGCAGCCTTGGCCCAAGCATGGCAAACACGACAGGCGGGGACAGCACCGACGCCGGCGCCAATGACAACAACAGCAGCAACATTACATTTGATGCCGACGGCAGGCCCCTGTGGCCGCCCGAGAGGATGATGCGAGTGGTAGAAAAAACACTGGAGGACGTGGTGCAGCTCATCAGGGACTCGACGTCGGACCTCAAGGACATCGTGGCGCTCTCCATCGTCATCAACTCGGTACGGCCGGGCGACTCGCCCGAGCAGCGGCTCGAGCGCATCCGGGCCGGCATCTCGCGCATCCTGGACGCGTGTCTCAAGTCGCTCAAGACGACGCCCGAGGGGCTCGGCGTGACGGCGCTCCCCTCGACGGCGGCGGCGGCGGCGGCGTCGTCCATGTTTGCCACCGCGGGCAAATCCAAATCCCCCGCGGCGGCGGCCGGTGCAGACGTCAGGCCGGGGCCGCCGCACTCGGATCAGCCCCAGCCGCCCTTCTTCCATGCGAACACGCACCTCCCCGCCGGCACCTACCACACATCTACGACAGGGGTATGTTCATCCATCCCGTCCGGCCTGTTGCCTGTCCACCTACTTGCTCCCCCTGCTCTGACATGCGCTATGGCTATAGTTTCCCGATGATTTTCCCCTATGGGACGCCAACTTTTGGGGGCAGACGCAGCCTGATATGTGAAGAACGGGGTAGTGTGCGTCTCGGCGCTGGCCGATCGAATGTCTTTATATATATATCATGTTTGGCTTCTTTCCTTCTACTTTTCCAGTTTCTTTCTCCTTATCGTCATATATATACCCACTAGTTGCTAAAGTTCCTCTACTGGCCCTGGATACCGGATAATACAAAGGAATATATAAACGTACTCTTTGAAGCTTTATAGTCCGAGGCTGGCCGCTTGCACCTCCCGAAGTAGTCGAGGACCCTAGGCTTGGAATGCGCGCCTAAAGACGCCAGGGGTTGGGGCGGTGATCAACTTTAGTGAGGAGGTCCAGATAAATCAATGTTCGCCCACCCCTCTTGCTCTAGATGCTTCCGATACAGCTTTCGGGCGGCGATCCTTCTCGCGTCGACCATACGGACCTGCTTGGAAGCGAATGGCCGGCAGTCGCCGAGCTGAAATACATGACTGACCCTAACGAAGGGAGACGCAAAACGGTAACTATACGAATGGTGGTTGGCCAACTCATTGTTTTAGTTCCTATTCTTTGCTCGTATCTGTGTTTCTGTTCTTATTACTGCTTTTATTCATCTTCCTATTACTTTTCTGTTCTTGTTACTTTTCTATCCCATTTCTCCAAATGAGGTAAACTGATCTCACAGGTCCCAGCATCCCGGCGCTTTGATTGGTGTCGCACATGCCCCTTCTAGAGCCGGCACAAGATCTGGTGTGATAACATTCTGCCACTGACAAAAGAACCTCCCCCGGCCTCTTAAGACCGGACGCCAATGCACTCAGTCGAGTTCAGTTTCAGACTAAGGAGAGTCCCCAGCTGCGTCGATCCGTCAGACCGTATTCCGTATTCTTCGGCGTCGCGAAAAATCTGGTCGATGTAATTACCCGCCCCCGAAAGGTGCAAAATATGCCCGATTGCGCAATGGATTGCAAATAAACGAGGCGAGGGCGGATCGATGTTGCGGTTGTCGCTAAGGTATAGGGTTCGCGTAACCGGTAGCCCCAAAATATTGCGAAGGAATGGATCAAACGCATCTATCCGATGAGTATGCGGGGGCTGCTGATCGGAAAGTGGTTCGAAGAAAAGCTGGAAGGAGCCAAATTTCAAACGGTGGTCGATTGATAAAGTAATAGCGTTGTATGGACGGTCGATTTCAGCGCCTTCAATCAGGTGCACAACTCCCACATCAAACATATTCAGAATATCCAGGGTGATTTTTCTAGCCGGGTCCTATACGCCACGTTGTAGCAAAGGTATCAGTCAGTACGCTGGGGCCTGGGGGAGAAAGGTCGCCGTCCACGTACCAACAGGGAATCTATAGGAGCCTTGACCAGTGAATGCGGCAGGATATGGGCAACCTCCAAATGCCGAAAGTCATGCGCCCCGATCGGAAGGCCGTCATCGTCCCTAACGATTCCTGCTTGCGCGGTCCGATAACGCCGCTGGCCCTCGTTGGTATCGAATTTGCGTGAGATTACACAGCGGTGGCGATCGCGGACGAGGCAGGTGCCGCGGAGAGCCGAAATGCGGTCCGGCGTGCCGGCGACAGATTGGGGCAAGGCGGCGGAGCCTTGGGCCCTTTGAACAGCAGAATGGGTTATGGGGGATGGCTGGGGAGTCTTGTTCGAGGCGCTCTTCACTATTAAGGAGAAGCATGTGTTAGACTGCCCAGCGGGCCGAGGGGCGAGAGAAGGAAGCCTTACGCGGGACAAAGAAGTTGTCCATGAGGTACTCTGCAAAGGCGTCCACCGACTCGTAAAGGCGCGCCTTCACCTCGGGATCGTTGAAATCGACGTCCGGATCGGTAACGCCGCCCTCGAGAGGGAGCTCCAGATGTCCGAAGAAGCTCGATAAGAAAAGGCTTTCGTCCGACCGCGCGTACTCGTGGGTGAGCCGCACGAGGGCGGGACGGTTGTAGTCCTGCCGCGGCAGCTGCTGGCTTGCCGAAGCCTCCTCGCAATGCTGGAGAACGTGGCGCATGCGGGTCTTGGCTTGAGCACGCGTGTTTTCGTCCATGACGGGCGTCCCGGCGTGCAGCACGCCTTGGAGGGAAGATTGATGGCGATGATGGGGCCCTGCCGGGTATGCGTTTGTTCTGTCCATTGTGGGCGTTTTTGAGTCGGTCGAGTCGGTCGCGGTTCGTTGCGGGTCTGTGCCGGAAGCGGCCCCACTTGGACAATAAAGTGGAAGAAATGAATAGCAGGGGCAGGGGGAAGGATAAAAAAAGATGTATAAAAAAAGGTAGGAAAAGCAGGAAAGGGATGAGAAAAAAAGGATAAGAAAAAGGAAAATGAAAGAGGAGAAGAAAAGAGGGGAGGAAATAGGAAAGGAAAGAGTATAAGAAAAAGGAATAGCGGGGTATCCAACGCGATATCTGCCCCGCCAACGCCCTGCCTCGGCTCGCGCTTCCGGACCCCCGCCGGCCCTGGCAAACAACCCGACCCCAGCGGGCTCCATCCCACCTTTTCGTACAGGAATGAGTATGATTTGATATTAGCCAGACGAGGGCCAGACGAGAGCCAGCTGCACTGCACCATGCTGCTTCAACTGTACATCGCGGGGCCAGCCAAGAGTTGTAGCGGAAAGAGGACTCGACGAGGCGACACTAGGCTCTATGAGGGGAAACTACCGCGCGACAGCGGGAAAGGTCTCTGGCAGGCGTGTGATCGGGACATGGCAAATCTCTCCTTCCTTGTAGTGGTCACCATGGAGAAACACGGGCTTAACCGCCAAAAGAATGGGGGGGAAACAACTTCTTGTTGGACTGGCTCTGCTTCGTAGGAGTGGCGATGGTCGGGATAGTTGAGATCCCACCCCGGTGAGCTGGGCTAACTCTAGGTAGGCACGGTATCGATGTGCTACGTCCCCATATTGGATACACCTCTATCTGGCCTGCGCCTCTGGATCCAAGTAGATGGGACCACGTGCCCCATGGATAGGTTCCATGATAGAGTCCGACAGCACCGACACTAGATTGACTCGGATCTTCTTTGCTCCCAGGAGGAACATCTTGAGATCACTGATGTGGACCTTTTGGGGCTTGGAGCCGTCACGCCGTCTCGAGATCTAGACTAGAGATTTCCCCTCGGACTGCCCTACCACGTAGCTCGGTGGATGCCACGGGGATTTGAGCTTGGGATTTTTTCTTGTGTGGTTCCGCTCCATCACCTGGGTCCCTGGTGGGAGGATAGGGTGGTCTCGAGGGTCGATTCGATCGTCGGACTACTATATCATGGAACCTATCCATGGGGAAGGTAGTCCCATCTACTTGGTCAGTCTCCGTCCTTGCATCGCTAGCTGGAGCCAGGACTAATCCAGTCTTTGAAAAGCCGCCTCGAGGGCTGACCAGGCGTGCTCGGACTCGCGCATGTACCGGGCGCAGTCAGCAGCGGGGGTGGTGTCGAATGCCACGCCCGGCAGGTACGGCCCGCCTGCAGCTCCAGAGCAACTCCACGATCATATCCTGATTTGGGTGCCCGAAAGGTTCTCCACCTCGAGCGTGATGGGAGCGCTTTGGTGGCTTGTCTTCTGTCTGTATTCGGTGACGACTGAGGTACATGCCGAGCAGATATCCCCCTAGTGGCAGTTTCTAGTTAAACCCTGTTTTTCGTTGTCTGGGTCCAGCATCCTTCTATCTCCCCTCGGCAGGGCGACGGGACCGTTTAGATTCACCCCATATGCCAGCTCATTCGGCGCTCTGCCCTCGCGCGTGCCTGCTGTCTTTGTATCTTCCACGCGGTGCTGGGTGGCTGGTGGGGTATCATGTCACTGTGCCTTGGGCTGTAGGGCCGGCAGGTAGCGCAACGACATCTCTGCCTGCTGGTTCATCCTTTCTGGCCGGAGCCCGTCTGTCTACGGGTGGTAGGACATCGAGACCCCGAGCTTTGTGTCCATCACCGTGTCGATTAACTCAACCATGATTGACTCGCCATTTATAAATAACCTGTCCGGCTCTAGCTGCTCAGTGGGATACTGGGGAGAGGTGGAGCCGCCGCATTTACCTCGGACCATAATGCGCCTTTTCCGAGAAAATAAACCGTCTAGGCTTTTGCGGCCTTTTCAAAGTGGCGAGATGCGAAAGATCTTGCTTGATACCGGTACGCACGCACCTGTCGACGTATCGATATGGAAAACAAGTCCTAGAGCCGGTTAGAAGTAGATGGGGCTGAAAGACCAGTGCCTCGGCATCTTTGCTAGCGCCAACGGGTTCCCCGCACCGACCCCAGGTTTGGGGAAAGGCGGGGAAGCAGTCAGCCCTCTGTCCGACATCTCCGCATGCGGGCGAGCTCGTTTCTGGATTGGGATGGGTGATGGACGCTCGGCCTTTTCAGGCAGTTTATAGATAACGTCGGGTTCGCTTCCACGGGTTTTTGTCCCTTTTTCTCTCCCGAGAACTCTCCCGAGAACAACGTCCACGAAAGCCAACATCGACCGCGTCGCGTCAATCACGGTACCTGCACAGAGAACAATCAGCATTAGACATTTTCTTGATCAGCGTGGCCTACAGAAGGCAACGACGCAATCATGGCGCCCAAGGAAAAGCAGCCGGTCTACGTTCTGTAGGTGACGAGTAGTTCCCCCAATCGAGACGGTCTACAGCGACATGGGCGAGCAGAACACTAACACAAAGCGCCCCTCTCAGCGGCGTGGGCATGACCAAGTTCATAAAGCCCCGCGGCAAGGTAGACTACACGGAGCTCGGGTTCGAGGCCGGCGTCAAGGCCATGCTGGATGCTGTCAGTCGGCACCCACTTTACCCCATCGCAAAACCTCCTCCTGTCGGGCACTGACTTTTTTTTTTTTCCACTTCGCGTCATCAGCACATCACCTACGACGACGTCGACCAGGGCATCGCGTGCTACTGCTACGGCGACTCGACGTGCGGGCAGCGCGTCTTCTACCAGTTCGGCATGACGCAGATCCCCATCGTCAACGTCAACAACAACTGCTCGACGGGCTCGACGGGGCTGGCCATGGCGCGGCAGCTGCTGGCGTGCGGGGCGGCCGACTGCATCCTGGTGGTCGGGTTCGAGAAGATGATGCCGGGCAGCCTGCAGAGCTTCTTCAAGGACCGCGAGAGCCCGACGGGCACGTCGGGGCTCATGATGGCGCAGACGCGCGGCTACGACGCCAAGGCGCCCGGGGCGGCGCAGATGTTCGGCAACGCCGGGCGCGAGTACATGGAGAAGTACGGGGCCACGCTCGACGACTTTGCCGAGATCGCGCGCGTCAACCACGAGCACTCGCAGCGCAACCCCTACTCGCAGTTCAAGGACGTCTACACGCTCGAGCAGATCGCAAAGTCGCCCATGGTGTTCGAGCCGCTGACCAAGCTGCAGTGCTGCCCGACGTCGGACGGCGGCGCGGCGGCGGTGCTGGTGAGCAAGGCCTTCCTGGACGCGCGACCGCAGCTGCGGGCCAACGCCGTCGAGATCGCGGGTCAGCGGCTGGCGACGGACGCGCCGTCGCTCTTCAACAGGTCGTCCATCGACCTCATGGGCTACGAGGCGTCCGAGGCGGCGGCGCGGTCGGCGCTGGCCGAGGCGGGCGTCAGGGCGATCGACTGCCAGGTGTGCGAGCTGCACGACTGCTTCTCGGCCAACGAGATGATCACGCTCGACGCCCTGGGGCTGACGGCGGGCAGGGGCAAGGCGCACGAGCTGGTGCGGAGCGGCGGCATCACGTACCCGGGCGGGCCGGGCCGCACCGTGGTCAACCCGTCGGGCGGGCTCATATCCAAGGGCCACCCGCTCGGGGCGACGGGCATCGCGCAGTGTGCCGAGCTGGTTTGGCACCTGCGCGGCTGGGCCACCAACCGCGCGGTGCGGGGGGCGCCGACGCGGCACGCGCTGCAGCACAACCTGGGGCTGGGCGGGGCGGCCGTCGTGACCGTGTACCGGCGGGCTGACGGGCAGGAGGCGCCGAGCGGGCTGAGCGACGCCGACGTGGGTGCGACCAACGGGCTGGGCTACAACCCGGCCGTCGAGGCGCGCGGCTTCACGACCGAGCAGGCGGCGTCGGTGCGGAGCAGGGACCGGAGCAGCGACTGGGCGCTGCAGGACACGCTGAAGAAGGTCGAGGCTAAGTTCTAGGGAGGTAGTACTGTGTAGTTGCTAGTAGACGCCATCCATGTGAATGAACATCCATGTGAACAAAATGTTTCGATTTCAAGCCGCCAAGGCAGGGGCTTTCCAGGGTCGTTGCCGGCCCGCCTGGGCCCCGCCTTGTGGATGACGCCCGTTTTCCGCCTTGTGCAACATGTGCTTTTGTTCCTGCAACGGCAGAAGGCAACAGTGGAAGCCCCGCCCCGTAGAGGAAAATACCCGCTCTTGCCAGCGCATCGCAGCATGGGGTCGCAGCTTCCATGTTCCATGAGAATTCGATCGCGGACGATCACACACATACAAGCCTGATCCCGGCGCGCGTCGCAAAACAACACCTGCTAATTCATGCGATCTCTTGATTTTTTCTTTTTCTTCTCCTTCCTTCCTTTTTCCAATCTGCAAGCCAATTTCTTGCCAATGGTTGCGTAGTGTCGGTCCCACCTTCTCAAACGCCGAACCGAGCACCGGCCTTTCCTCTTTTTGTCTTCTTTCGGGGATCGTTTCGTTGTTTTGTTTTTTTACCATTTCATCATGGTTGTTAAAAAAAAGAGTTTGTGGACCAACGTCGACAAACACGAGGATCAATAAAAGCCGATGCAACCACCTCACACCACTGGACCTCCATCGTTCGCCTTCCAAACCGGCTGTTTTGTTCCAGACGACTTCAAATGGCGGTACTTTTGCGGCTCGGCGCAGGCAGCGGGGGACAATGGGGCCCCCGGAGCCATGCCATCATGCCTTGCATCGCGTGCTGCCCGCTTTGCTTGCCATCGCAGACCCTGGCTCGGGTTTTTTGCCGGAAGCACGTCCACCCCTTAATTCTCCTTGATCGCCCCACATCCCTGGAGCCCAAGGCCTGCCTGTCTGCTGTCTGCTGTCTTCTGTGTCCGCGCCTGTGCCCGAGTCTGTGCCTGAACGCTCCCCAGATCAGCCTGTTTGGCAGCCCGACAAGACGGGGAGCGGTTTGATGGCCGTTTGTACCCGTCGTCCTTCTTTCTTGACTTTGACCTCTGGCGTTTTCCATGATCCCCGGGATTCGATATTTTTAAACGCATTCGACATCTGTTCGCCCTTTAGCCCCCGCCCTGAGAACCCACTGAGGCCCACCGCTCCCCGCCCAGACAAGCCCCCCAGGCGATCCGCTGGTCATCCACTCCCACCGCAACGGAGCCGCCCCCTCTCCCTTGCCTTTTTCCTGCCTCGGCCTTGAGCAGAGCACGGCCCTGTCTTCCGCGCCCAACCCTTGCTCCTCCAACAGCCGCTCTCTCGGGCTTTCCGCTGCAGGGCACATGGGTTTGGTGCCGCATCATGCCAGTGCCGTTCCCACTTCTTCAGCCAAAAATCCCCGGTACCAAAGATTGGCCCTACGGGAGAGTCTTTGCGCCTTGTTCCAAGGCCCCCCGTGTGCGCGCGCGCGCCTGTGTCCCCCCCC